CTGCCATATTTTCCTTAGATCGGCTACCGACAGGCGAGATTTTTCAAAGAACATTCTGAAAAAAAAGATGTGTTTGTGAAATTTTGGTATTTAAGACATTCGATAGGATGTATGGATTTTCATACATCTCTTGATAAATTGAAATATTTGTGTTGGCACCTGGCGGTGTGTCCAGAGAGCAGGCCGCGCTCGGGGCGCAGCTGCGCGAACTGCGCGGCGTAGTGGCGCGCCTGCGCCTCGCTCACCGCCCACAGCGCCGCGCCCCCCGTCGCGCCCTCCTCGCCCTCGCCCTCTTCCTCAGATGAATGTCGGTCCGAAGACTCTTCTTCCGTACCTGGAATAATATTAAAAAGTTCCTAACTTCAAATAGAGTAATCCTGTTAATTTCTTGACAGTATAGCTTGATAGATACGCAGAAATCAAACTAATCATACTAATATTATAAATGCAAAATTTTAGATGGATAGATGTTTGTTAAAGTTTGTAGCCTAAACGGCTGAACCGATTTCGATGAAATTTGGTTACGACGTAGAGGATAGTCTGGAAGAACACATGGGCTTTCAGTTTTCTTTTTTTTTAATACAATGCGGACGGAGCCGCTGACGACAGCTGGTCATATAATATTATGTCTATATCATTAGCATATTATAAATGTCCTAATGGACATAAAATTTCAGACAATACCCTTAACTGTATTCATCTATAAGCATTTTTTATAACATGTGTATCGTTTTTTATGGCATTAAATTCGCATTGTACTTTGATCCTAGTTAGCAGTTTAATTAATAGCCGTCAAAAACGTTATTAGCGCAAGAAAATTAATTGTAGACATAGGTTTAACAGTGACTCACAATACCTTGTTAAGCCTGTTTCGATAACGACTGAGCCAGACGTGTTTTATTGTTTGCGGTTTTTATTTTCAAGATGCGTTTAGTGATTTTGATACTCCAAATATGCTCTATTAATCATCTTCACAGTCAAATAATAACATGCGTGTCAATGGTATGTCAAAAATCGCCAGAATAGATGAAATGTTCTAACCCTACCAATATTTAAGTGCTATGACGTCACAATTTGCGTCCTTTTCCATTTGGTAAAGAAAAGTTTTATATACGACACTCTCGCTTATTAGGTTATCGACATTCAATAACTGTAAGGAACCTTAAAAACTTCGCTGCGTATTCGCAACTTAAATCTAACAGACGTCATTTTAAGGGAATTTGAACTTGGAGTGTGGTCACCCTTCACTAAATTATCGCTCAACTGTTTTGCGATTGTCGATTGTTCCACAGCCAATTCAACTGTTTAGTTGCACAACTAAAAATCATATAGTGTGTTCACCTCCATATAATCTCATAGGAATCAAAGCGTAAACACTAACCTAATAACCGCGTATGCTCCTCAGCTGTGTTGGTAGGCCATACCCCGCGTCCGGTGGCACTATGCTCCCACACCGGGTGCACGCGCTCCGCCACGCTGTTGGTCGGCGTGGGGCTCTCACTCGCCGTACTCCACGGTGACCCAGTCTTACCTCTCCTCTGTAACGCATACAAGCACCATTGTAGTTGTTTAATATTGTCACACTCAAGAAAAAACAAAATTCCATACTCAGAATTAACCCTAAACAGTGTCTTTAAAACATTTATTATGTTGGATTTTACACTAAGCAAACCCATTCATAACGTTAACGCAACTTGAGTGTAGTTGTAATAGTCTTGATATGACAGCTTCATAGTTTTAAGAAATTTTCCTCATTGGGCTAATCTTAGTAATATTATAAATGCGAAAGTTTAAATAAATGGATGGATGGATGGTTGTTAGAGTTTGTAGCCTAAACGATTCAACATATTTCAATGAAATTGGCATAGATGTAGAGGATAGTCTGGAAGAACACATAGGCTACTCATTTTTATTTATTTTAATTCCATGTGAATGGAGTCGCGGGGGAAAGCTAGTAAAATAATAAATAATGCCTAATCCAACAAACACATAATAATGTTATTTGGACTTGCAATTTTGTTATTTAAATTGTTTAAATATAATCAGTATATTACTAAAGGTTAACAATAGAAACTTTTTAGTAAAAAGTTTGTAGCAATGAGCTGGAACATAATAAAAATTGATTGACCTTATGAAAAAAGTACATTCAATACAGTATTATAAAATCAAGGTCTATAAATAACAAGAGCCAGATAGACAAACATATAAATAAATATTGTGACTTGAAGTAAATGTTTTTGCTTTGATTTTATTCACTAGGACAACAAACAATAAACAATAGTTTAAATATAGTTTCAAAAAAAGAATTTTGTAAATAATTATATAGCCCTCACTTCATTTAACAAATTCTTATAGCATATATCATTGTACATTTTAAAATGAAAAGTGTAACCTTTCAAGTTTCTAAGTTAATTCTGCAAATAGATGAACATAGAATTTGATACAGTTAATGTACAAAAAGTTATCTATCATATACATATAATAAAATTAGAGTGTCTGTTTGTAATATTAAAAAAAAAATCCAGATTCCAGAAAGATGATATAATTGTGTTGCTAATAACGAAAATTGCATTTAAAATATTTTTATCTCTCTGTCTGTCCGCAAGCCTCTTTCACTGAAGTGAAATATATAATATTATAGACTTTTTTTTTATAAATTCTTTGATTATAAATTATATTTCAATTTTTTATTCAATCGAGTAATGACAATAAAAATGTAAAATCCATAATAGTGTAGGTATAATAAACAACCATTTCTGTTACATTAAACATAAACAATGTAATTCAATTAAAACTGAATATATTGTTATGACCTAATCGTTTGTCCGTATGATAAGAGTTATAATAAAAAAAAACATGAAATACTTGTATTCTTTCATATCATCAATTATTTACTTTTCACCAGGATGTCATATTTCTATTTAGTTTATTTTCTACTTGAAAATAGATCAACATGCTAAAAACAATATCCCTAATGTTTTCTATGTACACTACATAGTGTTGGGATCATTATTATTGCTGTTCCATATGTTTCTGTCAGCCGTCATATCTCAATTCACTCCCTTCTTATGCATATTTAAACACAACCCATCTAAACTTTCTTCTGTCCACCTTTGCACCCAACATTTAACCTTAAGACAGTTGTATATGTGATCATAATTTGTCTGTATAAAACTAACTTACACTAACTAGTGTGTAAAATTTTCTGATACACATCTCCCAATTTATCAAATAAGGTGTCTATGGATAAAAATTTAACAATCTGTCAAAACAATACATCAAAGATCTTGGATGTATGGAAAAGACGCTAATTGTTATTAGTGATGTTTTTTTTGCTTATACTCCATTTAAGTGTTTATTTTTCAAAGATAAAGGAGAAGTAATGTAAAATTGTATAACCAAATGTGTCCAAAAAATAAAAATTTAAGTGTTTTATCTTCATAGCAATTAAACAAACAAATGTTATCTTTGTCAATGCAAATATGTAGTCAAATAAAAATGTTGATTCCATACTTGTGTTACAATTTACTGCTTTCTTATACAGCTATGTCTGTTATATCTAGATAACTGATAAGAGAGTAATGACATCTATGTAGTACATGTGTCACCTGTTTGCAAGCTACCAAGGTTATCTCATTATGGAAATTAACTGAACAACTTCAATCAGTAATGCCAAAATATTGTGTAGTTTATGAGAAAGAAATTAGTTATAATTTAAAAACTTACCCCACATGAGCCTGATCTTTGTGACATAGTTTCCGATTCTATTTCTGAATCAGTACTCACTCCTTCTGTAGCATCATGAGACAAAGCTTGTGGCAAATCGCTGTCTGACAAATTAGATGACAATCTAATGGGTTCATATGCACCGAGATTCCCAAAATTTCTCTCACGTTTAGGTAAATACTGTTCTTTGGGTGAATTTGACAATTGTATTAGATCAGAGTTGCCTACAGTACTGAGTTCCCAAGTAAATCTTGGCAGAGGGAGATCCAGGGGTGTTGATATCAGTTCAGGTTTTATTGTCATATTTGTCTGATGTGCTGCTATTAATTTGAGTGCTGAATAAAATTGTTTTCTATTCATATGTTTTAGAGTTGCATAGTTATTTGGAGCTACGCTGATTTCCATGATCTGTAACGCATAATTGCTGACAATAATCATTCACTAACAACACAAACGATAATAAATGAAAAACCCATTTTATTTACCTGGCATAATATATTGTTCGGTATATTGGATGATCTAAACAACTCAGTCGCTTTCAGAATCGGTATTTTCCCATTGGACTCTTCGTCACAACACACAAACAAATCACCGAAATATCTCATCTCAGTTTCTGTCAAATTGAGATCCTCCATTATAACAAAAAACACTGTGCAATTTTTTTATACACTATTACTCTCTTTAGTAGAATAGCCAAATATAATAATAATCATTATCTATTAATGTAAACCATATTCATTGATAAACAGACGGATTTGAAAATTGTACATCACAAAATTTACACGAAGCAAACGAATATGTCATTGACAGCTGCCCGACGTGCTGTAGCCATTGCCAATTGCGATTAAACTAAAATACAGAGTAAAAATTACAAACATGGGTCCGGGGATTTTTTTTGTTGAAAATATATTTCTGTGAATGCAAGTTGAAGAGAATGTATTATTTTATTATATAAAAGATGTTTAATTCTATACACCCAACTCCACAACGGTCTACGAAGGTACTGGAACCGCACCTTATTATAGTACAGCAGATAAAGAAATAGCAAGTACACTATAATGGACATCATCATCACCAGCTCACTATACGAGTATGTCCCCACCGAAGAGTTCAGGGTGACTATGGCCTAGTCACATACATCGTGATGCAACCTGCTCATATCGGCGAAGATATCATTATATAACAATACTTAAAAATACAATTGGTACTTTATATTGCCTGATTTTTCTCTAAAAACTATTGATTTGATTTACATCATAGCCAAATGTCATTACAGTAACCGACGTCTTTTATATATTAAACTGTTGTGACATGCAAATTCATCTATTTTCTCCAATTCTCTTCCTATCCCTTCATTTGATCAAATAATACTTTTTAACTCCATGATTAGAATGTATTTTATTAAAACTACATTAATGGAAGATTTGCCATTGGATAAGGAAAATTGAAAAACTATTCTCAGGTGTCAATAACTTTATTATGTGACGATTGCTAAACCTGTTACATAACTTCTAGTTATTCAAATAACATTGATTAATTCCTTATTTGGACACATATAGCTCTTTAGTATATATTTGCGGCCTTAGTTTAAAAGGAAACATGATTAAAATAAAAAAAATCACATACACATACACATTACTACTATCAAAGTAGTGTAATAATTTAGAATACACAGCTACACTTTAAACTTAAAACGTAAGCATCGGTAATCTCGACAATTACAATCACATTTAAAATTTCGGAGTAAATACTTAATCCTTGCTCTGAATGTACTTGATGAGATCAATAACTCGGCTGGAGTAGCCATATTCATTGTCATACCAGCTGATGAGTTTCACAAAGTTGTCATTCAGAGAGATACCAGCGGCAGCATCAAAGATGGATGAGTGAGAATCCCCAATGAAGTCGGAAGACACTACCTGATCTTCAGTGTATCCAAGAATACCCTTCAGGGGTCCATTGGCGGCCTCCTTCACCTTCTGCTTGATAGCTTCATAGTTGGCAGGCTTGCCAAGACGTACAGTAAGATCAACAACTGATACATTGGCCACTGGCACACGGAAAGCCATGCCAGTGAGTTTTCCGTTCAAAGCGGGGATCACTTTGCCAACAGCCTTAGCTGCTCCAGTAGAAGCAGGAATGATGTTTTGTTGGGCGCCACGGCCATCACGCCACAGCTTGCCAGAGGGACCGTCTACGGTTTTCTGAGTGGCAGTGGTAGCATGTACAGTTGTCATCAATCCTTCAATAATTTCAAAGTTGTCGTGGATAACCTTAGCAAGGGGCGCCAAGCAGTTTGTAGTGCAGGAGGCATTAGAGATAACTTTGAAGGATGGGTCATATGCTTCCAAGTTGACACCAACTACGAACATGGGTGCATCAGCGCTGGGAGCAGAGATGATGACCTTCTTAGCTCCACCTTCTAAATGAGCAGATGCTTTGTCTGTAGTGGTAAAAACACCAGTTGATTCTACCACATATTCAGCACCAGCCTTGGACCATGGGATGGCTTTTGGGTCCCGCTCTGAGTAGACAGCAACTTTGTTACCATTGACAATGAGATAACCATCTTTGGCATCTACAGTTCCCTTGAAACGCCCATGGGTAGAGTCATATTTAAAGAGATATACCATGTAGTCTAGGCCAATGAAGGGATCATTGATCGCAACAACCTGGGCTCCCTTTTCAATAGACGCACGAAGCACCAGACGTCCGATGCGGCCAAATCCGTTAATTCCAATTTTCGACATGGTTTCTGTAAACATAAAATACCTGCCTTAAAATCTGATTGTGTTAACTCATTTAAAATTTCGATTTTAACATTTATTTCATCAGAAGAACATCTACTTGGATTATAGTGGATTAAAAAAAAAAATTCATTTACCCTCCCTTACAAATGGCTGTTTTAATCATTTTTTTTAATTTTATTTACCTGGATGTAATTGTGGACTAGGATATTTTTTAAACTTAATCAATATATGAGTTTAAATTAAGGTGGATTAGAATTAAATCTGTTTCAAACAAAACTAAACTAGTTGTAACAGGATATGTTAAATAGATTGTATAAACTAGAAACATTTACAAGCTATGCCACAAGTTCAAATTAAAAAAAAAACTAAAACATTCTTAAGAGTCGACCTTTTATAGACAATTTTTTTTTTACTCCATAAAATTAAGTAGAAACTTTCTAACCTTTTTTAAAATAAAACACGTAGGTTAGAATGAGAGTACTTTGCCGGCGCTAGAAGGTCAAATAGAGGTCAAGCGATTCTTGAATGTTAACCATTGCTAATAACTTTATATTAAATCTAAACCCTTATGAAAATATTAATAAAACTAATAGTATAAAAACGCAAGAAAAGCAATCATATTAAATATCTGTTAGTTGCAATAGTCGGCCTCGGTTACATCTAGTAGTTACTATGTCACGTAGGTAACAAGTAAATGCATAAAATTTCCACAAAATAAGCAATAAATCATAAACCCTATTATTTAATAATAAATAAAAATTAAAAACAAGCTTAATGCCTACCGGAAAGTAGAAGTTCTGGCGTAGAATTGATACACGTACGATCCCCGCAAGATGGAGAACTGAAATGTCGTATGAAGGACAAGTTAGTATGTGAGTCGACCGCTATGAGCTGGAATCTAGATTGCGGTTATTGAGTAACCGAAGATTTTCACTTCCGAAACGCCCAACACACTAAAAATATTGTCATTCTATTCAGTCTCTTTGAAAAAGATGAGACAACAATATGTTGGCGTATAGGTTTTTAAGCAGTGGAAACCCACGGTAATACCTTAGAGTCAGGCAAATGTCATTGAGTTGAATAAAAACAGATAGGCTACTATTCTGCCCAAATATTTTTTTTAATTAATTAATATAATCCTTGTCAGATTAACTTGAGTATAATAAAATAATTAGAAGTATGCCATAGCCATGACCGCGCCAAATGCAAATCCGGTATAGCGTTGTGTGAGTCGTATTATTAAATTTACCTGCGTGGTTCTTTGGGTTTATGCTGTAATACATAATTATCTTTATTTTCCCACATTTATATACTTAAAATTACGAATGCAGTATGCAACTTTTATAACTACAATTTGTAAATTACGTCAAAATTATGCTGCATTGTTGGCTTGTCCTGTTGTCATGTTTTATGGCAGAAATCAACCAGCATTATATGATTTTAAGGTGATAAAAGCATGGGTGTAGTACTAGAAATGTTCAAGTAGTACTTCCATGGATAAAAGTTTATGAATCAGAAGATATACATTAAACTTAGAATGCTTGTTTGTTGCAAAAATATTAATTGCATTTCTGAGCATCGTTCTTCAAAACAATTTATTGATATGACAACACTAGTGAATTTATTTTTACCTATTCTGTGGCGGCAATTTCAAAAAGTCAACTTTCTGTTTTCTTATCAAAATTAAACATTTTCCCGTAATCTAGTGCACATAAATAAAAACTGATTATAAATGTATAATGGTTATAAAAGTAGGCATAAATGGTTTTGGCAGAATCGGCAGAATTATGTTTAGAACTTGTATATTGAATCCCGATGTCGAGGTAAAACATTGGGGCATTTTTTGTTTGTTTTATAAAGTGTTTCTATTCTATCCTCTTACCATATTATAGGTTGCCGCTGTTAATGATCCAGCAGTTGACGTAGAATACATCTGTTATTTAATAAAATTTGATTCAATACATGGTAAATTTGAAGGTGATGTCGCGCCATGCAAAGGCGATATTCAAATTAATGGTAACATTAAATTTTATAGAATTATAATTTGAAACATTAAATAATTAATATCGTCTCAATTATTGATAGATATTAGGATTATTGTGACAATATACATACATTAATTGTGTAACAGATTTGTTTTGTTTGAGATAACATTTCAAAGGTTTAGATTGGACAATACATTTACTTGTATTATTAAAGTATTTATGTACTAAAATAATACCTTCGTAACTGTAAATATATTAAAATTTAAATAATTAATTGCTGCTTAATTACATTAATCCGTTTTACTATTAATTTTAGTTTTGTCTTTAGCAATTTTAGCTTAGATCTTACATCTAGGTCCAGTAAGTGGGGTGATTGGTAACTACCATTAGTATAGTATTTTTCGCAGTAGTTTTATATCTGTTTTACATTTTTTAATTGTCTAGGGAGGCGGGGTGTTATCTCACTGCACCTCTCTGGCACGTCTATGGCATTTGGTCAAAGGGCTTATATATTTCAGGTAATTTAGTTAAAATATTTCGAGCAAAGCAACCATGCGACGTGCCATGGAACACCGCCGGTGTGCAGTATGTCATCGAATCTTCGGGAATGTTCACCAATCTAGAAAAGGCTGCGGTAAATATTGTAGTTTTTAAATGTATCTATTGCTATGGATCGAAGTACAATAACGTATCAAAATTATATTTTAAGAAGAAAAAATTCCAAGAAGTTTTGTAGTTATCTTTTAAGTGGCAGTGATATTTAGTTTATTTACGTTTTATGAATAACAAGTCGATAGGCGTTGGCTGATAAACTAGCTGACGACATTTTTTTTTTGTTTTATTTCATCAGTATCTTATATAGAAACAGATGTTTTTAATTTAGGTTCAACTAAAGGTTGAGGGTGTGTACAATGACGCCTTTTAATTTTTAAACAAAAAAAAAACGTCCGTGACATTTCATCAAATGATAATATTTATTGTTTTCTGAACCATTTTATCAATTGACTTCAATGTCAATTTTGTTCAGAATCCGGGTTCTCTACTTTTGACAAAAAAAAATCGTGAAAAGAAACATTTTTTACCTCTAGTAATATACATTTGGGATAATAATACACACACTTAGGTAGTCGGATAACAACTTATAACCCTTAATTCAACAGAGTTTTTGTAGCAAACATTTTTTTTAGTAAAGCAATATTTTTGTATATTAGAGAACAGGTAAAATGCTATTTTTTTTAATTAGTTCGTCACATTTGACACTACGAAATTAAGGGTTCTATGACAAAGTTCAGGTCGATGACCATAGGCTTTTGTGTCAGGGCCACCTCTCAGTGGAGGGTGTGAAGCGCGTGGTGGTGACAGCGCCGTCCAGCGACGTGCCCATGATCATCCTGGGGGTCAATGATGATAAACTCAGACCCGGTACTATCATATTTACATTAAACTTTTTATTGTTAGGGACCATAGTTTCGCTTGCGTGCTCATATTAAGATCCTAATGTTACGAACCAAGAAGATTTTGATCAATGGCTTAAAATATGTCTTTATGTAAATTACGATAGCTAAAACCCTAACGAAAGTTAATCAAAGAAGAACAAGAACAATAGAAAAATAAATATTTTTTTTACCTTAATTTTTTCAGGACAAAACCCAGTAATTTTTTTCGTATGTTATGTTTTTTTTTTAATAATTCCTAGATCAGAGAGTGATATCGTGCGCGTCAAGCACCCTGTACTGTTTGGCTCCGATAATGAAAGTTCTAGAAAATAACTATGGCGTCTCTGAGGGGTTTGTGACTAGCATACACGCGATGACTCCTTCTCTCAAACCGCTGGACGGATTGTGTTTAAGAGGAAAGGTAATGCAAGAATAGTGTAAAAAAAATATGTTTTGAGACAAATTCTTATTGGTAGATTGATTCCAAACGAGATGTTAGTTTAGGGTTCCTTTGACATATCTTATACGCTTTAAAATAGACATTGTTTTTGTATGTTTTTGGCAAGTCACGATTAATTTATCTCAAAACTGACCTCAGATTAGTCTATTGAAAGGCGATACAAGATTACGAGATGTAAATGATGACTGCCAAGCCTGTTGTTACGGGCGTGACTTGTGTTTCTAGCACTGGCGGGATATAAATGTTTCCAGAACTGGCTTGATATGTCTTTCCAGCACTGGCGGGACTTTAGAAGCATCCATCAGAACGTGATCCCCGCGATGACGGGCGCGTGCAAAGCCCTCGGCAAAATCCTACCCGAACTCAAAGATAAGATGGTCGGCCTCGCCTTCCGCGTCCCCATCGTTAATGTATCCGTTCTAGATTTGACAATAAGGTAAAATATTTCTATTGTTCTTACAAAAACATCTACTTATTGTTCTCTTCTATTACACTAAAGGCTTAAAAACATGTAACAAATCCAGCAACATCCACTTTTATAGCGATTTTGATGTAAACTGGTTTCATTGGGTTTGGAAAAGCAGATGTTACATATATCTTAGTTAATAATTATTGATATATCCAATATTCAAATCTATTTCCTTAAGGTTAAGCAAAAAAACAACATTAGAAAATATCGTTAAAACCGTAGAAAACGCAAGCGAAACGTACTTACAAGAAGTCTTAAATATATCTAAAGAGGAAGCCGTGTCGTCGGATTTTATAAGAGACAGTCACTCCTGTATATTGGATGTTAATTCGAGTTTGCAGCTTCGACCTGATTTTTACAAACTTATCTGTTGGTATGAAAACGAATTTTCATACGCGTGTCGTGTTATGGATTTGATAACGTTCTGTGAGCGACGATTTGAAAAAAAGCAAACAGTGGAAAGTAAAGTGGTCGACGGCGAGACTGAGAGCCCAACTTTGACGGACATCGCTGTTGGTGCTAAGAAATTTAGACCAGCAGGTACTTGTCGACAGCAAGTTCCTAATATAATAAAGACATTTTCCAAAAGTGTCTACAGTAGTATACAAGATTTGCAGCCGTTGGCCACGGAAGTGCCTGTGGCCAATCAAGGAACGTTCACAGACAGACAACCGAAGAAAGTAAACGAATCATTACAAGTACCAACCGAGGATGAAATAGTTAAGAATGTATCGATATCAAATTCTATTCAAAAAATTGAACCTACATCGAGCGCTAGTAAAATGGTAGAAGCTAAACCGAGTGTTAATAAAAACATTCATAAATCTAAACAAGAACGAAAGGATTTTAACGCTCAGAATCATTTAGAGAGTGTGAGAAGGGAGTTAAATAAAATGATGAATGTTACTCAAGGATTGCTTGAGAAATCTAATAAGCTATGCGATCCGTTCAAATTTAAGATGGAAGATCAGGAGTCGAAGAAAACCAAAGCGGATAGATCTATAGCGTTCATTGAGTCGAACGAATCTATGGAGTGTACGGGATGTATGAAGAGTCAAGGAACAGTTAATGTTAACAAACAATTAGAGAAAGCGTGTTCGGGTAGAGGGGATACGAAAAATGATAATGCGAGACCGATGCCTGTGGAACAATCAGTACTCACTGAAGGTATAGATATTTTTTTATAATAAACATCACATGACGCGGTCACTTGATGATGAGACATTTATCTTTATAAATGCGCAATTTAGATGGATGTTTGTTAGAGTTTGTAGCCTAAATAGCTGAACGGATCTCGATGAAATTTGGCATTAATGTAGAGAAATAGTCTGAAAGAACATATAGGCTAACATTAGTTTTTTTTTTAATTCCGCGGTGTCGCGACCGAAAGCTGGTCTCCTATTAAGAATTTTCGCTATTATGAAAAAGTTAAAAACGTAAAGTGTAAGTATAAATAGTAGAAATAAGTAAAAAGGAATAAAACATATGCGCGGTCGAGACCATTCATACAAATATGTAGTTTTCAGTTTGCTGCATTCTTTGTTATAATTTCGTTAATTGTACACAGATGCTTCTAAAGTACATGGTGATGATATAAGTAAGTTCCATGTAAAAACATTATACAATACTAATTTCGAAGAGATGTCCGATAGTCGTCATGCGGGTGAACTGGTACAAAAAAGAGCAATAACAAAACTGCAAAAGACAAGCACGAGCTTCCTTAGAGAAAATCCTTACGTGTATGCTTTTAACAAGAAACATGAATTTAGAAATGAACAATTTAAAAAGCAATTACAAAACACTAGTCCAGTCAGTATAAAGATGGAAGGGATAAATCTCACTGGTAACGAAGCTCATTGCTCTGAAAATATATCCAGATATATTATAGTACAGGAAACTGAGAACACTAAAAATGATCGTAAATTTTTGGGACAACGACTCGTTGGGAAACAGAACATTCTGGTACAAAAGCAAGTGATATGTGAAAATGTAGCTCTGCACTCTAATGAAAATAATGCCTTTGTTAAACGAGATCCAAATAAAGCGAAGCAAGATTTATTTGATAAACTCGATAGTACTAGTGCAACTAATTCTGAAAATTCATTTCACGTTAAGGAGAAACAATCTCAAGTTATTTGTATAAATGATCTGACAAATTCATTAGAAGATATATCTCGTTTAGAAAAGATATGCAAGATTATTGAAATTTCCGACGATCTATCAGACGAGTTGTTTTCGAAATTAAAACCTACAGAACCGACAATGAAAAATAAAAAATGGTCCTTCAAAGATCTTTGCGCTAAAATTAAATTGGACGATTTTTGTGATAAAGTTTTTCGTGAGTAAAAATTTTGTTTTTGATAGTACTCTTGTTTGTAATAAAAAGTTTTTGTTTTCTATTTTTTTTTTTAATTTAAGGCACATACTTAAGGCACCACATCAATAATTATGCGAATTTATTACCGGCCATTATGATAATAAAAAATAAATCTTAGCATATATTGTACATTACGAACAACTTATTTCCATCATTTAGGGTCTGTCCCACCAAATTGTAAATTGATAGCAATCCAACGAGTAAATATCGGATTTTGTTGCCTTATCTGAAAGTGACGTCATTTTTAAGCTATCTAAGCTATCAGCCAGTGGTGGGACAGGTCCTAAATCATTTACCATTTACATTATAAAAATATAAAAGCAGGTACAAAGTAATACTGAGTGTGGAATGAAATCCTTAACCATAATTAGTATACGGGGATTCGATAGTTTTGAGTAATTTCATATTAAGTTGTATAATAGTTTTAGAGAAGATGGCGTCGTCCATTTCTACAAAGTCTGCTATAACAACATTCACAGGGGCCTGAGATTGCAAATTCTGAGAGTCAGTTACATGTGGCGGAGGTCCGGGGAAGAAATCCTTTAATAATTTTGGTAGAACTTCATCTTTTACGGGTATTGCACATTTCTCACGAAGTGTGGATATCCATCTGTAAAGAAACGAATTATACTTATAGGATACCATATTATAAAATATATAAGTGTACCCTTTACTATTTTTACTAATGACGAAAAATAGTAAAAAAACAAAAATTTTTACATATTATCCTTTCAACTTCTTACCGAGAAATCCATACCTTCAAAGTAGTCAACATTTTCGTGATTGGCTCCTTTTTGTTTTCTAACTTGAATATTATCAGTCAAAGTTATTTTAAACAGCCAATATTAAAATAAAATAAATTGCAGGTGTCCAATGTGATTTATAACCCCGGTATCAAATTTGAAACTTCAGGTATTTAACCGTTAAGACCATACCTGAAGAGTATGAATGCTGGTGTGGGTGTTAAAACAGCTTGGTGAACAAACCCCATGCCGGGGTGTCGCCGCACGCGCTGCAGGAAGGCGAGTAGACCGGCCACGCGCTCCTGCTGCGGCCACGGCGACGGCAACATCTGCGGCTGCCAGAACTGATCCGTGCTGTACACTGACTGATGACGGTATACTATCACTACCTACAGATAAAACATCAATATTAGAGCGAACACCTTTGATAAAGCGATCGCACAACTCTTTAGTCCACTTTGATTCCTATATATGCACAGTTGTGGCTGTGAAACAATCGGCAATCGCACACAGTTGTAAGACAGTTTAGTAAAAAGTGTGCGTCCGCTCTTTACAAGTTTACTACTAGAATACAGTATAAATAATTCCAAGATGGCTGCCGTCATAAAATGACGGATGATATTATTTTTGTACACTCCAATATGACAGTACACATTGAATATATCCAAGATGGCTGCTTTTACAAAATGACCGTTAACATATTTTTCCATTCTCACAATATGTGTATCAAAGAAAAATAAAGTAGAATACAGTAATAAATTCCAGATAAGAAACTAACTAAAAATTAATCATTTATCAGGTGCTTTTCTTATGATATGATGAGAATATTCGATTTAAAGCAACTGTAGCAAAAAAAGTATATATTTTTAGTATTAAAATACAACCTGTTGTCTCAACCTTGCCAATGAATTGAGAGTGATGCTTTGCAGATCTATTTTCCGAGGCACCAGTTGCTGACCGTACAAATGTAATAATAATCCCATAAGTCTCTGATGGTCATTTGCTGTGAACCCGTAAAAATGTTGACAATCTAATATCACCACCTGGAAAAAAAATCATAATTCACTATTCCTGTTCCGATTTTAAACCCATTTATTAAAAAAAACGGTACTTCTTGTCATTTTATAGCCATTCATTTTTATAACTAAAACTCTCCTATAGAGGTATGAACTTGCGAAAAAAAAACCGAACTCTTGTGTATTACTGAACTAGCTTTTGCCCGCTACTCTGTCCAGATGGAAAACAGAAAAAAAACTAAATAGCATGTGTTTTTCCAGACTTTGTGCTACATTTATTCATGGAGATACCTACTAACAAACATCCATCCATCTAAACTTTCGCATTTATAACATTAGTAAGATTACAAGTATGTTAAACATATGATTATACAAGTGTTTCAACAGAGGTTATAATTTAAATATTTTGTTTTGTAAATGTAACTCACCTCTCCTGGGTGTGTATCAACGAAATTTTTAACTTGCTGTAATGCTGTTGTTATTTCATCTGCATATACTCCATGGGTGAAATAAAATTTATCATTACCCGTCTTTGTTGCGATCCTTAAGTCGAAATACCTGGAATTTTAATTATTTTAGTTTAGCAAAAAAACATTAATACAATCTTAGTCTATAACACAAATATTTTGAATTCATTTCCTTAAATCCCAGTACTTATTTCGAGTTCTATTATTTATTAATTTACTCACTGATAATGTAGAATGGTGAATTTTTAAAATCGGCCCAGTAGTTTTTGAGATATTTTAATACATACAAAAATAGAAGTCTTTCCTCTTTATAATATTAGCATAGATATAACAAGGACTTGGGTATTGGAAGAAATGCTGTAGCTGACACATATAGATTTCTTAGTAGTAGTAAAAAATATCTATAAAATTGACTTGTGAGTTATACATCTACACATTTGAGTTCTACAAAAATCTTATAAATATGAGGGTTCATATCTTCAAAGAATCTTGAAATTTGGCTTATATTTAAAACATAGTCTGGAAGAACACATAAGCTATTTTGAGTTGTGTAAAAAAACTAATTATATCACAATGTTGTATGTCATTTGTTTTAAATAAGATTTATAATGCAGCCAATCAAAACATTCAAGAAAAAAAATAACTCTATTATATGAGTAACATAAAATTAACAAAAGCTAATTTTATAGCAGTTTTACAAGCAAATGTACATTTTGTAGGCTTGTTATTAGTAACTGTTGCAATGTACCTAATGCCAATTAGCAGTTGTTGCGAGGTGTCTACAGCTTGTGTTATTGTCCAACGTAATATCGTACCTCGGAACAAGGGGTACAGTTTCTTTACAATTGGCTCTGCATCAGGAGCTATTCCACTTGATTCTGTGATCCCATAAGTCATTGAATCATGGCTACCTAGAAATTTAATAATATTAGTCTAAGTTTCTTGCATTCAATGAAATTTATGCAAAGTTTTAACAAAGAACAAAGATATAACATAAGACATATGGTTACATTACCTGGAATGGCCAGATATATAATAGGAACATTTTTCAACTGCTCAGGTAAATCTCTCATCCAATTTTCAAGATTAAGATTTTGTGCTGACCCGTCTTCACACATGATTGAAGCTTAAAAGATAAACAATAATTAAATGAGTACTACAATTTGTGCACAAACTTAGTAAAAGAACAATAGAAATTAAAAACTACCTTTGTACTTGGTAATAAATTATTTAACCTTTGTTACGTCATGATCTAACTTTAACTATACTTGTCCTTACAAACAACGAGCCCTACCAGTTTCTGTGCGAATGATTTGTGACCATTACTACATTTCATAACAATTGTATGGACTCATAAAAATCATCTAAACAGACTGACTGATTTTTAAAGTAACATTCCATTGGCGGTTATCCATTTCTGTCGGTTACAACAAAGTTAAGACATCCTTTTTTTGAAAAACCACGTAAACAAAACAAATCAAAATACTTCTTACACTTCAAATAATCTGCCAGACTGACAGTGTCAGTCATCTGTCAACTGTCAAGAAAAATATAATCAAAACGGGAACGTCAGATTTTTGTGCAATGGCAGCACTGTATTTTTTAAAAAGTTTTTTGTAAAAGCTTAAGCTCAATAGTATGCAATTTTTTTATATGGGTACTAGCTGTCGCCCGCGACTCCGTCCGCGTAGAATAAAAAAAACAAAAGTAAGTAAGTAGCCTATGTGTTCTTCCAGACTATTCTCTACATCTTTACCAAATTTCATCGAAATCCGTTCAACCGTTTTGGCTACAAACTATAACAAACATCCATCCATCCATCCAACCATCTAAACTTTCGCATTTATAATATTAGTATGATTAAAAACGTCTAGACGCCGTTTACGTCGTGTTTAACTTGCAGATTTCGGTGGACTACAGTAACCTCGACATTTAAGCGAAATTAAGTAGCCACGTTATTACTCAACTTATTTTTTTTAGTAAAATACTCATCTACACTCATATTATAAAGAGGAAAGACTTGTATTTTAGTATGGATTGAAATAACTCAAAAAATACTGGGCTGATTTTAAGAATACATTCACCGTAAACGCTATAATTTTACTACTTATTTTTTAATTTCACGGGAGCAAAGTCACCAGCAACAGCTAGTTAATCAATAAAGAATAAGAAAATCATACCCCAGGCAGCTAAAAGTAGTCCAAGTCTCATGTTAACTTAATGAAGATTATAAAACTACCCACTCAGAAACTTCAACGCACTGGTGACCGTTATTCGACGTTAGCTAAAACGTTTCCAACAATCTGGCAAAATAATATTCCGTATTTGTTCCACTTAAGTACACTGCCTCGAGACGTAAGCTAAAGTGAACTTATCATGCAATCCAGTGCGTTTGATCTTCTGTGATGTTAATAAATGCAAAAAGTAACCTCAGCATGTTATTATTGGCTCACTAGCCGGCTACCGATTGCTTTGTTACAGTACTTGCTCTCAACTGGACGTACGTATTTAGGAGATTAGGTGAAAGGATCAAGCATGGTGTGTTTTTTGTGCTGGCGTTAACAGTACCCGTAATAAGATTAACCTTGAAATTTGGACGGTTTTTACGAATTAATTTAGCATGACACGGACATAGCAAATTATATACATGTATCTATACTAATATTATAAAGAGGAAAGATTTGTATTTTTGTATGAATCGAAATAACTCAAAAACTTCTGGGCCGATTTTAAAATTCTTACACCGTAAAAATCTATGTTATCGCTGAATAAATTCAGCTAACTATATTTTTTTTATTTCACGTGAACAAAGTCGACAGCAACAGCTAGTACATTGTATAGCACCAATGGCTAGATGATGGAACGACTAAGAAGACTTAATTTATCTTTAATTCTAGGATACGATGTTACTCGAGTTAAGGTAAAAGTGTGGGCCCACATTAAACTAAATTATCGCACAACTGTTTAGCTTTGATTCCTATGTCCTTATATGGAGGTGCGCATAGTACTCGATTTTTAGTTTTGTAGTAACTAAACAGATGAATTGGCTGCGAAACAATCGAGTTTTGCGATAGTTTAATCTAGGGTGTGCGCTCGTATTAACTGTGTAATATTTGTATCAATTAAATGTAGGAAAATTTACTCGGATTCTCTATTATGAATCGTGTCTTGAACGATATGGAACTATGACTTGCACAAAATATTGTCTTCGTCCTGGTTCTTTTTCTTAATCTCTGTTGTTAAGTATGCTTATTTGAAAACGCAAACTTTAGACATAATAAAAAATATAGCCTAATCAAGAATATAAATCTTGCCCTTATATGACGTTCAAAATAAATCTGCGCAAACAAATTAGTTCCTTATTTTTCCGTAATATAACGAGGGTTAATAATTCTGGTCGGACTATAAACAAAAATTAAATCGTTAACGAATTCTTCTTAACTTTATTGAAGTTCATTGTTTCATGTTACTTTGGCCTTAATGTGCATCAAGTAAACGAAGACAAGGTCTTGTAATTAAAAATATTAATGTACTAAAATGGCACAGATAATTAATTGACGGCGTCTTATATAAAAAAAAAAACAACTTCATTAAGGTTATTTTCTATTGTGATTTGCGTAACTGCACTGCAGTATCGTTATGACGAATAGCCATTAACTATGTTATTATCTTTGTTTACTTCCCAACTGCGATAGAAAATACAAAATTTTATACGCATGTGCCGCCATTTTATGGTGGGCGCCCTCGGCGACCGTCACACCTCGACCTACCCTAACGCCGACACTGCCTACGCCGATAACAAGAGAATAAATCCTAATCTTCATAATTTTCCTAATTTATAAATTGCGTGTAAATGTATCGTTCTGTTGAAATCAATTCGAAATGCAATCTAGTTTTCTTGCCAAATAGCTTGTGGTCTTTCGCCGTATTACTTTCGACATTGTGCGTTAGTAGTCGAAATGCGAGTGCCAACTATCTGTTAGGTTCGAAGTCCAATCGACTTCTGGATGCTACTGGTATAAAATACAAACTACAGAACAAGTCACCTAATAATCCCTTAGTTAGGTACTCATAGTAAAACAAAGGATGAACCATTAAATTTTAAGCAAGGGTTAACGATTAAAGACGACAACGTCGAGACAATTAAAAAGAAGACAATTAAATTGAAATGCATTAGGAAACCGAATGTAGCAACGTATTTTTGTTGACCTGTTTTTACTAATATGGATAGGTCATAAATTCCAAGATCAACTAGTTACGTAATAGTTAACAAGATATCTAACTTCTTAAAATTGTTTATTTCGATTTCATATTGTAAAATTAGTAAGTAATAAATAGCTTAGATGGAGCCCCAGATAAGGTATAAATTAAAACAGACAACTGTGCAATACTGCTTCGATATAAAAACGAACTAAAGTACAGTTACTGTTATGTTAACTATATTAAAAGTGTTAAACCATAAAAAGACACGTACAGGTTGTATTTAGATATATTTTCCTAGATAACCTGTTTCGTGAGACAAAGGGCTTTGTACTGCTGGAAATTGTGCGCCATGTTTGCGTATAGGAAACATAAATTGGAATCAGGTATTTAGTGCGTCATGCGGACATTTATGTCTGAGTAACATTAATAATTTATACGTAACCTGTTAAACTACTGAACTTCAAAAGGGAAAAAACATTGAAACAGTATTGGTATAGTTAAAATAAATATTAGGTGCCTTACGCATTTATAAACAAACTAGCTTTTGCCCGCGACTCCGATCCCGGGGAATTAAAAAAATTAAAAGCAAGTATCCTATGTGTTCTTCCAGAAACTGTTCTACATCTGTGCTTAATTTCATCTATATCCGTTCAGCCGTCAAAAAACTAACAAACATTTATCCATTAAACAAATATTGATCAGATTCAATCGGTTCAATTTCAAGTAATACACTACGAAATTAACCTTCAAATACGTTTTTTTTAACAATTACTTTTAAACTTATCCATCACTCTTCGTTCTTCGAAAGGTATTAATTTGGCTGTAATATATCTACGACATGATTTATTAAATAAAAAATTAATAAAACGCAAGACCAGCTCGTGATCAGACGACCTTTAGATGAGGTCATCATGTGGACCACGTGTGATTCGCCAAAATTAAGATATCACAGAATCGAGCGCCTTATTACACCAAAATAAAAAATATAAATTGCAAATCAATATATTCTGGCACAAACGCTCTGCAAATGGTTTTCTTAGAACCGCAGCCTCTTTTCTTGACCTCTTTCGTGTGTGTTCTCTGAGATTGTGACTTCGTTCATTGTGATTTAAACACATAGGTGGTAAATTGAATATTTTTTTTTATTTTTGTACAGTTATAATAAAACCCGGGCGTAATATTTTTATGATGAGGAGAATATTACGCAGAGCGGAAACTATTCTTCTAATGGAATCATAAAATTGCTACGTACAAGCTTGCTTGTGTTGCAGTTGGAAAAGTCCATAACGTCAAATAAACACGCATTATACTTAGAAAACACGTGGGAATGTTTAATCATAGAAGCGTTTCTCTTATAGCTTACCAAACTGAAACTATTATCCACGTGCTTAGTGCACGTGCGAATTTATAGCACTTTTTACCTCGTAGATGTTATGCTGTAGAAAGTTTTTAGGTTTCAAGTGTTCATAAGATAATTAGATAATAAACTGTTGGTCCAAATTTTTGCGTAAAGCATCTATTAGTTAGTATCTATAACTTAGTTTTTATTTTAATTTTATATTCAATTGCTTGAACATGTAACTGGGTTGTTTGCGTATGATTTTGTTTACTGACTTTTGATCAACAGAGTTGTTTACATTTACGACTGCAACTGCAACCTGCAACTATATTTCCTTGCAATTTAATTATGCATTGCAATAATGCAGTGAGTGCGCAGTCCGATATCAGAATATTCCCTCCCACTCGCGTGTGGTCACGACCCGGTCCGAAGCTAGTCGAACAAGAATCGATGTCACACGAAGTCGTCGTGATACGTCTCCCACTCCCCCGCTCCCTACCATATCTCGCTTTCGCCGAGCTTCGAGCACCCCGCATCCCGCCCGCATCATTTTAGTTCGATCGTCCACGTTGTCAACTGTGAATAATCTTTTACTCAGCGTAAACATAACACAGAGCCCGTTAATATCAAATAAATATTATCATTAACTTTCAACAAGTTCTATTTCGATATTACAATGCGCAAGATACGGTCTGGTGTTAAATAGTGACGCGGTGAACATTCTATAAGTGTTGATATCGTCGCGAGGTCAAAGACTGCTACAAAACTGTATAACTTTAGTGTCGTATTCCCAGTGAGATGTTGGGGGAGAGTTTTGGTTGACAAATTGACTGGTTTCGTCTGCTTGGACTTATTGCGAATGTGTATTGAAACGTTCACCGCTATCCACGGGCGCACTGCTATGCGCCACGACTTGGTACATTTTATTCGACACACATCCTCTGACCACTACTGCGAAGGAACACTTTAGTTCTTCGAGTTGGTAAGATAACGTTAGTTTATATAATCACTTACTTTCATCTTTCATCTACCTTCACTTTGTAATAAAATTTCAAAGCTATGTAATCTAATTAAAATTCAATAAAAACGTAGACATTAAATGTCGTTTTAATGTTGATCAAAAGACATTCAATATCGATAATTAAATTGCTATATAATAAAATATTGAAGCAAACGTTACACTGTAGAAGTCGCTAACACTGCATGTTTGTAATTATATTGCACACAGCTAAATAGCAATTATTGTTAAAAATACAGACGAATTGATAACCTCATTCTTTTGGGAAGTCGGTTTCCAAAAACGGTAGACGTCACTGCTGCGACTGCAAATATTACGTTACGCATTTTATTTTCATGTGTTTTCATTGTATATATTTTATAATTAAGCAGCGAAACAATGATGTTCCATGATTAGTTTCACCTGTCCTTCTTGATACTTTATTATAAAACGCATGGGTACAGAGTCCACGAAACTGAAGTAAAGTTTAACTGAATCCGGTTTTACACCTGCAGGGCAAGGTTTTAATTACGTACTGATAGAAAGTTAAAATGCGTTGCTCCGAATACGATCGTCGTCAGTGATGGATGGAGTCAACTCAACCTTAATTATATCCTAACTTAAACCTTATCTTAAAGTATTTTGTTTTTACACGTTAAAAGTAATAGCATATTATGTTTATATTATAAATTAAGTAAGAAAACAGTTAAAACATGACATTAACAATTTGCCAACTTCTGTGTCGAAACACCAACAATGAAGTCCACATATTAATAGAAAATTATTATAGTGTTAAGAAACAAGCAATTGAAATTCACAATACAACTCTCAGCCATTGAAAATTGCAGACTTGGTAGGTATAGGTACTATCGGGGAATCTGGCGGTATTCCACATTATAAGGTATACTTTTTTGAACATTTTATACGAATTGAGACGACGGCGCAATAACAAGTACGCAGCTATTAATGTGTCTGTACAAAAAAAGGGACAGTGTTACACGTCTAATTGTTTTTCTTAATATCCCGTTGTTTGAAAAACTCACCATTGCCTAATTATTTATTTGTAAACGACAGAGTTTGTCTCGTTGCAAGGAACAAGGCGAATTTATCTAAGTGGAACACCGCATAGGGTTCTGATGGTACCTATTATATGTACGTTATTTGCAATATGTCGAAATAGTGATGATTTGTTTGAATAAAACGTTTTGTACCACTCTATCAACTGCTATGAATAACATGTAAGAAACCTATTGTCGATCCAGTCCTTACTCTAAAACACGATTTTGTTCTTTATTTCGAAGTCACCAAGGAAAGTTGCTATCTAGTTTATAAGACCATGTCTATCAACGATCATAAACATTTGCTGACTAGAAAAAATTGAGAGGAACATCTGGCATTTAAGAAACATCCAAATGGCATATTTTTAAAACCAGAAATATTAAATGCTTATACCATAAGTTACGTAATACGCTGGTTGATACTTCGTTGTCATGCAATGTATGCAAATATGGTCGAATTATAAACCTGTTATATTATAATACGACGACAATATGCCTCATTTATTTACCTTCATTATCCTTGTTTTCTTGGACGTTCTGAATGACCGGACGATTGTATCTCGTAATTTTGTAAACGGCGAACAGTTGGCTATCTAAATATAAATTTCAAAAGCACATTGCTAAACATTTATGTAACTAAATTTACACAACACCAGTGAATTTGGGAGTTTTTAGCTAGATAATATCAAAATGTGCTCAACATAACAAAATACCAAGAGTTGTTTTCCCAAAGAAGTCCAAGTAGGTTTAAAAAGATGTGTTTACTGGCTGGTAATAAAATGAAGGTTTGGTTTCTTCTTGAGTTAAAGAAAACATAAAAGAAACAGTGAAGCGTTCTTTCAAGTAATATGGCGGTAAAACAAGTGTAGCCGGTCTAGTCGGCCGAGAGCTAGTTGTTAATAATGAATTATTCATTAAACTTCGATATCGATGTCCGTTTACTGGCCTTTATTAACGTAAACAACGATATTATATGGCACGGTTACAAAGCCTGGAACATGAGTGGATTTGACTGTCGACGTACTTGTATAAAATCAATTCATCCTTGTCGTTCTTTTTGCAAATGACAGAGACAACATGTAGTTCCAGAAATATTGTAGCAGGAGAATTTCAAGATTATGTATTATCTTTATAGTTTAACTGTTGAATGTGTAGATTAACTACCTTTCGCCCTCGACTCCGTCCGCGTGGAATTAAAAAAAAATATAAGTAAGTAGCTTATGAGTTCTTCCAGACTATCCTCTACATCTGTGCAAAATTTCATCGAAATCCGTTCAACCGTTTAAGCTACAAACTTTAACAAACATCCACCGTCCATCCATTCATTTAAACTTTCGCATTTACAATATTAGTAAGATTGACACAGCTTTTAATAGAAATTCCAAACGGTTAGAATGTTTGCATTGCGCCATATCGTTAACATAGAAGGTTAAGATAATTATAACGATATATATATATATAAATATATA